ACTCCGCAGGGTTGCACTGCTTAATGTCAAAGCCTCACGTATTACTTTAACAGCACTCCTTTTCTTTATTAAATCCACTTTGAAATAAAAAAAAAAAAAATGATGATCTTTCCAGTAAGGGGGAGAAGGCTAAAAGGATTTAGAAAGTATCTGCTATGTTACATTACAGAGACTAATAACTGTTTAGGGAGTAAGTAACATTTTTGCACCATCTTAAGCCATAAAAATGAAAAGAGGTATAAAGATCTGTTCTTTAGAATCAATTTATTTAAATGTTTATTTTGCCTTGTGTCCTTGACTTTGGATTCCTTCAAAGTGTAAGTGAAGAAACTGGGGAGCTGGTGTGAGTGTCAAAGGGTCTGGGAACACACTCCTCACTAAATTTGCAGAAACTAGTTTATTTAGGGGTGCGTATGTGTGTGTGAAGGGAGCACGAGAGGGGGTATGGTGGTGGAGAGAGTTCTACTTTTATACTTAAAAGAAAATATGCAAACTTATTTTCCATTGGAGGCCAAGACTAAGCTTATCTCCCTCATCTGACTTTAATGAAGACGTATTTTAAGCAGCTGCACCCATGTCAAATGTCAGTTTTTCTCTCAAAACTTCCACCTTCTGAGTGGGAGGTTTCTCAAAACTAAGAATTTGGTGGTAATTATAAACTAATTGGAGAGCACTAGGCAAAAGTCTAATACCAAGCTTAGGAACTAGTTTATATAGATGAAATAAGAGTAGCCATGAATTGATCATTGGCAAAGCTAGTGATGGGTATCTGGGGTTCATTATACCATTCTCTTTGCTCATATTTTTTAAAGTTCATAATGATTTTAAGTTACTTAAAATAATTTAAGTAAAGTTTGTAACACTTAAAAAAACAACGTGAACTAAAATATTAAGTCACTAGTTGAACGTTCTAATTTATACTTTCTTTTTTAAAAAGAACTATTTTATTTAACTTTATTTATTTTATTTTAATTTGACCAGATAGGGACAGAGAGAGAGAGAGATGGAAAGTGAGAAAGCAAGCCGCCAGGTTCAGGACTCAAACTGTAGTCAGTCAGCCACGTGAGAGTCCAGCACCCTTCACCACTATGCCACCTGCTGGCCCCTTAATTTATACTTCTAGAGGGATCTTAGACAAAAGCTTCACTGAGAATTTGGGTACTTCTAACATGTTTCTATCCATTAGAGCCTAAAGCTTTGTTCTGTTTTTTTCTTTTAGAGTTAAATGGCCATTACTAACCCGAATTATTTCAAGGAGGTAGAATTTTTCTCATTAAAAACCCAGCAAAAGGCCTTCAAAACCCTAGGAACAAATGTGGTCAAGGGACCTTTTTCAGTTTGTCTATCTTAGTCAAGCATCCTCAAGCCAATTCCATTTTGTTTTTAGGGTTTTACTTATTGATTTAAAAAACGGTTGATGAATAACTGCTAGCTTACCAGATACTTTGCTCACTGCTGATAAGAAAGCTGGAGAATCCAGGCTCCCACAATTCAGAAGCTTATAATCTTGTTCGACATATAAAAGTCAACATGTAAAGTAGACATAAAAATCTTATTAAAAAGAAAGGCCACTTTTAAATGTTGGTATATTTGGTGTGGAAAAGGAATTGAGCTTTCTTGCTGTAGCTCCCATATTATAATTTGGAGAAGGATTATGTGGTGTGAGATGAGCTCGGAACCCTTTTTGAGCGGATTCCTAGATCGGCTTGGTATTTCCATCTGTGTTTTGAAGTTTGGAAGAAGTTCACACCTTTAAAATGTGGTTCATATTTGCCAGGGAAGAAATGACTTGTTTTGCAGTGCTTTCCGTCCAAAAGCTGACAAGTCACAGCTTTTTATTCTGACAAACAGCTTGAAGGTATCACCTCTGTAGACTCCTGACACAATGAATTGCGGTTCCTCATTTATAGCAGTTTGTGCTTCGCATATGCTTTCATGTGTTTAGGACGGTTGCCCAGTTTTAAAGTAGCAGCTCTTAAAATAGCTGGAAATGGATGTGGAGTTCAGGTTTAGTTGAAATGGAGTCGATGGTGCTCGTGCGTGTGTTCGCGTGCACACTTCCAAGCCAGCGTGCGTGCCTGCTCTGCTGCGAATCAGTGATGGAGCAATTTACACAGGAGTCCATTGTGATAGAAAATATAAGGACCCCAGGGTGAGGAGGAAGAGGGAGGGAGGATTGCATCTAGTGATCCGGGAACAGTTGCTCTGACCAGCATTTAGTGTTTTATTAGGAGAGAACAACTCTATAAAAGGAACAAGAGGTTCAATCATTTAGAGTGGGGCGACAGGAGGCAGCTGCCAGCATGACTTTGAAACCCTTTGAGATCCTAGAAGAGTTGCCACATATAACGTGCTGCAGCTGCTGGGATCATTTAGGAGAAATGCAGGACTTGGCACCCACCCGCCCCTGCAGGGAATAGGATTCTAGGATCACCTCAGTGTTTTCTTTAGATGAGTTCCAACCCTGCCTCCCCCACTCAACCCCCTCACCCCTTCCATGCCACTGAATGTTCCACAGCAGTTCTTACGGGGTTTTCCCCCCTCATTCCTCTTTTATCAGGTAAGTTTGTAAAAAATTAAGAGAAAAGGACAGTTTCCTAGCTTGATTTGAAAAGAAATGAGGAGTCCTGTGTGCTTGGGGGGTTGACAAGTGAGGCCCGGTAGGGGGACTTCAGAGGGTACCCAATCTTCCACTGAGTATTTTTTTCTTTTTCTTTTTTTTTTTGAGAGGTTTTTGCTATAGGGCACGTGCACTCACCAGAAAGACAGAAAGAGACAGAGAGAAAGAAAGCGAGAAATCACCCCCCAGGGGGGATGGCCACGCCGCAATCCCTTCTCTTCCATTCTCCTCTTGGGATCTTGGGCATGCATGCACACATGCCTGGTGTGAGTTTAAGCCATCGGGTCCAGGACATGAACCGGGGTCAACTACATGGGAGTCCAGCAACATAGCCATTACGCTAACTGCTGATCCCTTAAGAGATTTTTTGCTATGGGGCCGTGCGCTCACCAGAGAGACAGAAAGTGAGAAATCATTCCCCCCCACCCCGTGGAGGATGGCCACATGGTAATTCCTTCTCCTCCATTCTCCTCTCCCACCGAGTATTTATACCTGATGAACAAGTTACCATATATCCTTGCAAACTATTACTTACATGATGTCATGCAAGTAACAAAGTATGTGAATTGCATTTTCAAAAATCTGCTGGGAATGTCTGTTTTTCATCAATACATACAGAATATTTGCGAAGTTGAACCCTTCAACTTTAAAAATCTCCAATTAAATCATATAAACTTAAGCAACAACCAGTATTCATAAAAGCCAGAAATATAAGTCATTTATGGAGAGAGGCTATTTTTGATATATGTGTAAAGTTTGTGATAAAGATTTCTCAAACTATAAATGCCAATTACTGTTAAAATTTGGCAACCAGAGGAATTTCTATGAACTCACATTCTGTGAGCAATCTCAGAGACCACCAGTATGCTAATAAAAATTATTACTGGTATAATTTTGAAATGGATGTGGCTCCAACCTTGAAGGCAGTCATAGGTTCATATCTAGAAGGGATATTAGAGATCATTTAGATTGGACATTTTATTGATAGTTTGAGAAAATCCTCTTGCCCTTCTAATCCAAGAGATTCTGATAACTTCTCTCCTTTCTTACCTACTTCATCCCAATTTATAAATTATTTCCACTCTTCCACTAATAGACATGTTGAGATGGGGGAAAAAATTTAAGAACTACTCATTTACCCCTCCTGTTGTTTTGCTTTCTTCTTTTTAATTTGTCAGAGGGCATATGCATTTGCTGGAGAAAGACAAAGTGAGAGAGAGAGGAAAAGTGAGAAAGCACCCCACCCCCCCAGAGGGGGATAGTCACCCTACAGTCCCTTCATTTCTATTTCTTCCTCCTTTGGGGATTTCTGGGCACACACACATGTGCCTGGTGGGTTTCTCAAGCCACTGAATTAGGCACTTGAACCACACAGTTGACCATGTAGGATCTAGCTGCCTTTAGCACCACACCACTGGCTGGCCCTGCTGGCTCACTTTTAAGATGAGAAAACTAAGGCTCAGAGAACTCCCTTAGAGGGGAAACAAGGTCTTCCTATTCTGTCGTTTGGAAGCAACAACTATAGGGAGCAAGCATTTTTAAGACAGGCTTCACAGCCCTCTTGTAATTTGCCACATGACCAACGATAAACAATGGCAAAATGGAAGAGAAGACTATGGTGCTATTGAGATGCTTTGAGGAAACCACATATATTCATATGCTTAAATCCTGTTATGTACAGCAGGGTTTGAGAGAACTAGTAGAAGTAGCAAGTCATTTTGCTAGAGAGTAAGTTGTTGTATCTGTGGTCAAAGTAGTTACGTAACAGATCAGAGCATTCCATTCTTATCTCTATCATTCGCCAAAGTAAATTGTTATTTTGAAAGAGTAGACTTGGGACTGGTAGGTGGTGCGGTGATTAAGGTGCTGGACACCCACATGGCTGACCATGGTTCAAGTCCCCGACCTTGTGTCTTGCTTTCTCACTTTCCCTTTCTCTTGCTCTTTGTCTCACTCTGGTCAAATTTTAAAATAAATAATAATAGCAAATAAATTTAAATAAATAGTTATTTAAAAACTAAAGCAAACAAAAAAAAGACAGTAGGTTCAGCCACAGTAACGCCTACTGCTAAGAAGATGCTGTGTGAAGGGTGAGACCATAGTGGGAGGCCCACTCTTAATTACCAGCCCAAACTAAGAAAGCTGGGCATGGTGGCACACACACACTTGCAGGTCTAGCTAACTGGGAGGCCGCTGGAGGAGGCTCATGCCATAATGAGGCCCTGTCAAAAATATCTCAATCTCTTTCTTGCTCTCTCCTCTCTCTCTCATTAATTTTTCTTTAAAAGACAATAGGTATTACTATAGCTAAACTCATAATGAAGTTACTCACTATGTTTGGAAAGAAATTGAAATGTAATATGTCATTTTTATTCTGGGTCCACAGGTACATGGTAATATTGTGATGTCCTCACATTCACAGGGGCAAGAAACGTCTTACGGGTGTGGGCAGAACCACCCATCCTCAGTATCATTGAACGTTTTATTAAGCCATACAAGAAACAACCAGAGTTATGCTAGCCACAGCATGGTATTTGGAATTCCTTTTGTTATTAAAAAATTCCACACCGGTGGTATGAATTCAGGAAGCCTGAGGACAGTTAAGAAATAGAGCTTTTGTCTAGTGCTATTTTAACACACTGCTTCAGGTGTGGGTGGGAAAAGTGGGTTTGAAAGGCCTTGAGTCTTTAACGCTGTCAACTCCCAAGCCCAGTCTGTAGGGCAGAAACGCTGGATCCCACTGGGTACTCTGTTCTTCTGTTCCCTCCTGTCCCCCCATTTGTCAGGATTCTTAAAACAGTATTGTCATTTAAGCACACTAAGACAGACTTTATCTAATCCCAGTAACAGGGTTAGCCTGTATTTGTTGCCACTGGTCTTTGGGATTAAGATCAGTCTTTTACAAATATTGTAGTTGCTCTCGAGACTCCCAGTCATTGCTTATTCTTGATGTGTTTGCCCTTAAGTCAGTACTGTCTTCTCCTGCCATCTTAGTGATTCAGAAAACAAATACCGTCTCCTCATGCATGACCAAACCTTTTGATGATATCACTACTCAAGAATGACTGACAGAAAGGTCTTTGTGTCCCTTTATGAAGGCAAACTGAGAATCCCACCTTCTAAATAGTGGCTGCCAGGTAAGGAAGTTTTGCCGAGAAAATGTTTCCCCCTAAGATGTATCTCTAAACCTTTGCAGGGTTTGCTGCCTGCTAACCTGCCTGAGATGGGTGATCCAGACAAGAAACTGTGTTTAAGTGGGTCACAGCATCTGGAATGATCGTGCTGGAGTACTAGGCAGCCTGCTCAGCAACCCTTTTCTTCCTTCCTAAATTTAATTCTCAAGTGACATGGTTTATAAGGAGCAGGTGATGGCGGCAAGGAGGTGTTGGTGACGGAGAGCAGTCTGGCTCCTGAGAGGAGGACCATGTTGGGAGCCTCCATCTCTGAGACTAACCAGGCCCAGCTTTATACCCAGCACAAAGGACAGGCTGAGAGTCTTGTCAGAGGAATGGCCATCCAGTCTCTGTGGGGGCGCTCCTTTCTTGGCGATTGCTGCTACCAAGAGTGAAGGCAGCGCCTTCCCGAGGAATGTTCCTTTGCCCCATTCTTTACCTGTTTATGGTAAAGCTCATTTCTGATACTGCTCAGGTCAAACGATAGCCTTGTTGAGATGTCCGTTGTTGCCATTTGCAGTTTCTGCAGATCATCACAATTTCCAACATAATAGCTGCTCAAACAGCTCCTGCAGGAGGCCAAAAGGGGCATGAAAATTTTCTCTTTCTTCTCTGGAAATGAGTTTTGCTTTGCCAATAATATTTAGAAAAGCATTCCCCATGTTCCTTCCTAAGGAAAGAGAATCTCAGTGTCTATCCTCACCATATGAGACTGTTTCCTACACCCTCCTTCATCTGATCAGATTAAACAACCTCAACCCCAAGATCATTTGCATTCTCCAAATTCCTTGAGGTAACACTAATGACACTTTTATAGGACAATTACCGGTAAAATTAGTGAAACAAATCACACGATCACTGTGATTTCATGGTACCAAGGACCCATCAGATGGGTTTGATGGAACCAAATGACTCCAAGGCAGGTAGTTATGTTATTGCTCCAAATGTAGATCCACTATGGGGAGACTTATTATTTTTTTTAAGAATTATTTGTTTACTTTTATTCATTCATTTTATTTTAATTTGATCAGAGAGATACACACAGAGACAGAGAAAGAGGGAAAGTGAGAAAGCAAGCCACCAGGTCCAGGACTCGAACCATGGTCAGCCATGTGGGAGTGTCCAGCACCTTAACCACCATGCCACTTGCTGGTCCCATGAGAGACTTATATTTCCATTTTGAAAAAGATGATTCTCACAAAAGTACCTGAAACAGTGTGCTTCTATCCAAGCTATACTCTTGACATCATTTCCAGTCAAACTTCTTATGCCCCAGCCTATATTCTTTCCTTTTTCTCTGCAGTTATTACTATGCTCCTATAGTAAAAAGATGTATTTACTAGAATATATTTCTACCATTTTGTGCTATTTATTTATTCAATAGAAAATTATTATGTGCCAACCTTGTGTCAACGGAAGCTTCCTGGAGAAATTATTGCTTGAACCAAGTCTTATAGAGCAAGTTAGAATTACTCAGGGAACAGTGAAGAGGGAATAACATGTACAAAGTCCCTAGAGAGGACAGAGCCTGAACAGGGAGATTCAATTTAGTTTCGGAAGGCCGGGATGTAGGGCACAAATGCTTGGGGTTGGATATTTTAGTGTGGTAGGAGAAATAAAAGGCTAATGAGGAGTTTAGGTATCATGGAAGAGAACCCAAAGACTTTGGGGAGCCTCCATGGAATTTTAAGGAAGGTAATACCAAATAACATGTTTTAGAAAGATCCCTTTGGCTGTAGTATGGAGAATGGGTTTAAGTAAGGTGAGATTGGATCCAGGAAAACCATTAGGTACTAACTGTATTAATCTAAGTGAAGAATATGAGGGTCTGAAGTAAGTAATGGTAATTGGAGAGGTTCCAACATGTGAAAGAAAGGTCAGGGACTCCATGGAGGTCAATGGTATGTGGTACCCAGACTCTAATAACGGGGAGTCTAGGATGATACTCTCGGTCTGGCTTGACAGCTGAGTAGAAAGCAATACCATTCCTATTGAAAAAGGTAGAGATGGAGGTGAACGGATATGTTTACTTTGGATTGTACTAGGTATAGGGAGCCTAAAGAACAACCAAGATAAATAGGAGCTGCAATCATACTCCTTGACTTTTTCTTCCTTGGCTTGGGCTGTCTAGTGATCTCATGATTTGTTTGTGTGTGGCGTGGAGGGGGGCTGAGTGGGCAGAGAAGGGCATGTGGAAACTCTCAACGTCCAAAAGAAGTCAGCATAAACCCTCCTGTTGAGATTATTTCCAAAATTTGACCAGATGTTTAAGCAAATTAACAAATGATTAAAGCAGCAGTCGGCAGGGAGTTAGAGCCCTGTGGGGATACGCAAAGGAGCAGGGCTACCCAGAAAAAGCCAAGCCCAGGTGTTCTTGCTAGAAAGGAGGTCGATGTGATGTTGGTCCCCAGTGGTTGATGGGCAGAGTTAAAACAAGGAAAGCTGAGGCTGATGGAGAGGGTGAAATTGGGAATCTAGAGAACATACAGATGTTTGTGTTCACTCTGAGAATAACTTCTGTTGAATGCCTAGGCTCTCAAAAAATTTTTTATACCCATTGTTAGTAATAATTCTATTTTTCACTATAGTCAAGTTGTTTGTTGCTGTTGTTGTTTTAAAGGATTTCAACCCTTAGAAAGACTGTTTCCAAGTGTTACTGAGAGAACTACATCAAAAGAAAGACCATCGATTAGCATTTTGTCGTGGCAAAATGCGCTAGCAGTTGAGAGACTGGCTTGGGTCTCCCCTTCAGCTTCATTGACAGCTCACCATGGGATGTTGGGAAGTCACGTTTTTTCTCAGGACCTTAGCTTTCTTCCCTAGAAAGTTAAGGAAGCTCTCCAGGTTTTTAGGGTTGTTTTCAGCATTATAATTCTGTATCCTTTTCTATTTCTAGTTTGAAAGGCCACAAGTCTTACTTAAAATGGCAGATTCTTCTCACTCACAGAAAACATGGGTCTACACATCCGCAAGATACTTTGGTAAATTGTTCATCCCAGTACACATTATGCCCATGTAGCAATGCTGGAAAACTGTCACAGAGACACTCACTGCAGCCCTTTCCTCACTGGGCTCACTTAGGATGCCAGGTTTGAAAATCAACTGCTCCCCAGCCTCCTCCCAAAAGTCAGCTACCTCACTAGCCTCATCTAGAAACAGCATTCCTTATTGGTCTTAAGATAAAAATGAAATCAGATGAAGAGGACTTTGAGATCTAGTATGTGAAAACTTCCAAATGCCCTGAACTTTGTGTTCTTTTAAACACTGGCTCTCTTAAGCATCTTTATTCTCCATATGAGTTGATTCTGTAGCTCAGGTTCTCTACCCTGAGAGTGAGGAGGAAAAAGATGGGGCCAGTAAGTGGTGTGGAGGTTAAGGCGCTGGATATCATATGGCTGGCTGTGTGGTTTGAGTCCTGGACCTGGCGACTTGAAAATCATGCCAGGTATATGTATGTGTATACAGAAAATCCCAAGAGGAGAGGAGAGGACAAGGGATTGTGGTATGGCCTTCCCCTCCAGGGGTTGATTTCTCACCCCTCCACTGCCATCTCTCTCTGGCAAGTGTATATACCCTGTACGGAAAACACACACACACACAAATAAAAAAAGGGTCACAGGTGCCTAGCTTCTTTCCAGGCTATTTCCAAAGGGAACCAGGGTTCAGTCCTCCATAGGGAATATCCCTCAACCTGTGGTGACATTTGTACTCCCTCCTTTCTGTGTCTCTGGCTGTGTCCTCTATCTATTCTCTCTTCCCTGAGAATTAATTCAGAATGTAATGCATGGCAATTTCATAGCATCCTTTAGAACGCTTGGAGTTGTTTTGTTGTTTTTTTTTTAAGAATTATTTCTTTAATTTCATTTACTCACTTATTTTAATTTGATCAGAGAGACACAGAGGGAGAAGGGGAAGAAAGTGAGAAAGCAAGCCACCAGGTCCAGGATTTGAACTGTGGTCAGCCATGTGGGAGTGTCCAGTGCCTTAACCACCATGCCACCTGCTAGTCCCCTGGAGTTCTTTTTTTAAAAAAATTTCAGTATTATCATTATTTTTATTTTTTAAAGGATTATTTTGTTTAGCTTTATTTATTTATTTTAATTTGACTAGACAGGGACACAGAGAAAGAGAAAATGAGAAAGCAAACTGCCAATTCCAGGGCTCGAACTTCGGTCAGCCATGTGGGAGTCCAGCGCCACTAACCACCACGCCACCTGCTGGCCCCAGTATTATTGTTTTTCAATTCTACCAGAGAGAGAGAAAGAGAGAAAGCGAGAAAGCAAGAAAGCAAGCCGCCAGGTCTGGGACTTGAGCCACTGTCAGCCATATGGGATTCTAGCACCTTAATCAACACACTACCTGCTGGCCCCAGGCTGGGGTTCTTTACCAAAAGAATCTCATTATACTGATGAGCGTTAATGTTTGTTTCACACATGGACATCAGAGAACCAGAGAGGTTTACTATTTGCCTGTGGTCTCACAGCGAGTGAATGATCGACAGGGATTAGGAAGAATCCAGGTGGTAATGAAACTGAAATGTTTTGGCTCTGACAACATAGTTCAAACAAAGGATGTTGGTCCGAGGATAGGGAGTGTAACCTAGCCTTCCAGTCTCATTGTTGTCCCTGGAGAACTGTATTTTCTACTTCCCTGAATTCTCTTATGACAGGCTTTTTTTAAATGATTGAAAATTTATGTGTATGTATGTGCATAAAAATATGTGGCTACTCACAGATACATATATTGAAGATGAAAGAGAAAAATGGACAACTTATAATTACAGATATTTTCCTTCATCTGGTATCCAGATGATCTCCCTTGATTCTGACAGTTTTGACAAATCAGTTTATTAAAATTGTAAATGTAACCCAGAGCTGTTTAGTGCAATACGAAGCAGAAGGTGCTTTCTCCTCACATTATATTTTGTTGTTGCATTATTAGAAGTAAATACAGCTTATATTTAAAGGACAGAGCAGCCGTTTGTTCTTCTGTGAGAAATATTTAACTTGCCACATAGTCCCAGTTGGTTTCACTGTCCCAAGACCCTCAGGATATTTTCACAGAGCTTTGACCTTGTTCGGGAGCAGAGCGCGTCTGGTCCACATGCCCATCCTTTTCTTCAACTCCTCCCCTGTCCCTTCAGGTTTTTTTCTTTTTCTTTTCTTTCTTTCTTTTTAAGAGAATTTTTTTTTTCTTTTTCTTTTCTTTCTTTTTAAGAGATTTTTTTTTTTTTTTTTTTTTTTTGCTATAAGGTACGTGTGTTTGCCAGCAAGACAGAGAAACAGAAAGCATGAAATAACCACCCCCCGCAGGGGATGGCCATGCCGCAATCCATTCTCCTCTCAGGATTTTGAGAACCCTTGCACATGTGCCTGGCATGAGTTTTAAGCCACCAGGTCTGGGACTTGGACCACGGTCGATGGTATGGGAGTCCAGCAGTGTAACCATTACACCATCTGATGGTCCCATCAACTTCAGGTTTCTAAAGGAAAAACTCATTTCATTTCCTAAACTCCCAGAAGGTATTGAGATGATATTTGAGAAAGAAATTTATCAGTAAGCAAGTTTT